GGACTTTGGGATGTGGGGAGCGATGGCCTCAGATTGGGTGGGGCAGAGTATCACAATATCACAGAATCACCAAGGAAGAGCTTACAGTATTAGCCAGGTTGAAGGAAACGTAGATGTGGCACCATCAGCTGGCTCTGGGGGGAAGGGCGCAGCAAGGGAACATTGGCCTCTGTCAGCACTTCTGTCTCAGAGAAAGCTGCCCCCACTGCCCCACCTCCCACTCTGATGCCAGACAGTTTAATTCCTCCCTGTGTGTCCCTGATGCCTTTTGAGCTGCTGCCCCAGTACTGGAGTTCAGAAGGAGCAAGACTGAGTAAGTTTGTTCATGGGCCCTGTAAGAGGGACTGCCTGACTGCCATCAACAAATCATCAAAACAACAAGTGCTGACAAGAGTGTGGAGGAAAGGGGACTCCAGTACACTGCGGGTGGGAATGCAGACTGGTGCAGCCACTGTGAAAAACAATATGGTGTTTCCTCAAAAAATTAAAAATTGAACTGCCATTTGACCTAGTGATTCCACTTCTAGGAACATATCCAAAGAAGCCTGAAACACCAATCAGAAAGAATATATGTACCCCTATGTTTATAGCAGCACTGTTTACAGTCGCTAAGATCTGGAAACAGCCCAAGTATCCATCAGTAGATGAGTGGATAAAAATGCTGTGATACATTTACATAATGGAACACTATACAGCTGTAAGAAATAAAGATGTCTTATCCTTTGAGACGACATGGAGGCGCCTGGAGAATATTATGCTAAGCAAAATAAGCCAATCAGAGAAAGACAAATACCACATGATCGCACTTATTTGTGGAATATAATGAACAAAATAAGCTGATGAACAAAATAGACCCAGAGGCATAGAAAGGAGTACCGTTTAGACTGACAAACCTCAGAGAAGGGGCTGGGGGGAAGGGATGAGATAAACCAAAGAACTTATATGCACATATGTGTAACCAGTGGACATAGACAACAATGCTGGGGTGGGGGTGGAATCGGGAGAAGGGTCTGGGGGAGGGAGGGAGAAACATCTGTAACAAAAATAATAAAAATTTGCCCCAAAATAAATAACCAATAATATATTTTTTAAAAAAAAGAGGGGCTGCCTAGGACTCCAGAAGCTCTCTGTGTCCCTCAGCCACAAACTCTGCTGGTTGTTATAGCCAGACGTCATGGGGACTTCTCTTCCTGGCACTGGAAACCTGGGCTGGGAGGCCTGGTGTGAGGCCAGAACCCCTTGCTCTTCAGACGGGACCTCTTTGGCCAGTATATGCTTCCCAGTTTTTGACCACCACATGTGGGTATGGGACCAGCTCTTTCCATGTCTCTGCCTCTCCTATGAGTCTTGACATGGCTTCTTGTTTATATCCTTAGTTATAGGACTTCTGTTCGGCTAGATTTCAGGCAGTTCTGCGTGATGGTCATTCTGTAGTAGTAATTTTTATATGGTTGTGGGAGAGTCTGAGTCTGAGTACTGTGTTTAGTTAGGAAGCCCCTCGTGACTCTGATGTTGAGCATTTTTTCATGTGCCTATTTGCCCTCTGTATATCTAGTTGAGATGTCCATTCAGGTGTTTTGCCTGTTTTCCAAATAGGTTTGTTTTAAGTTTTGAGTCACTGATTAATTTTTAAATATTAAAACAGCATAGCATTACTTGAATAAATCCTAGTTGCTGTATAGGATTTATCAATACTTTGGTAAGGATCTTTGAATCTATGTTCATGAGGGATATTTATAATTTTATTGTTATAGCTTATCAGGTTTTGGAATTAGAGTTATGCTGACCTCGTTAAATGACTTGGGAAGTATAACCTCCTGGTCTCTTTTCTGAAAGAGTTTATGGAATATTGGTGTTAATTTTTACTTAAATGTTTGATAGAATTTACTGGTAAAACCATCTTGGCCTAGAGTTTCTGTTGGAAACTATTTAATATACTATGTAGTTATTCATATTTTCTGTTTTATCTCGTCAATTTGGGTAAGCTGTAGTTTTTAAGGAATTTGTCTGTTTCGTGTAAGCTGTCAAACTTGTTGGCATAAAGTGGTTCATAATAATTCCTTGCTATCATTTTGATGTCTGTAGGATTTGTAGTGACTTACAAATTATTTAGAAGTTTGTTTAATTTCCAAATGTCTGAGGTTTTCCTGGACATAATATTATTGATTCTTGATTTAATTCCATTGTGATCAAAGAGCATAATCTACATTATTTCAGCCCTTTTAAATGTATTGAGACTTGTTTTATGGCTTGGCACATGTATCTCTTGAAGAGCATAATTGTATGTACTTGAAAAGAATGTATTATGTAGTTGTTAGGTGTTGTATTTCATAAATATCAAAGTGGCTAATAGCATTGTTCAGATCCTCCATGTCGTTACTAATGTTTTGTCTAGGAGCTTACTTGGTCATATTGGAAGAAGAACTCTTAACACTGGCTACCTTAGGAATTTCTACACATATATATTAGTGCTATTTCTGTTACTTTAGAGTTTTGGGACCTCTGTTTTCTGGAACCATGACACATTCTTTAGAACCTTAAGGATGTCAAATCTTTAGACTTTAAATCTAGCTTTTATATTTTTTTAATAGAACAACACTTGGAGTCAAGAATAATAAATATATTTTCCAGTGAACAATAAATACAGTGAGCAAGTTGGGTTATTCTTTCTAAGGTCAAAAATAAAATGGGTCTTTGAAACAATGAAAATGACCACTGGAACTAATAAACTGATTTTGAAAATGTTTAAAGAAGAATTTTCAGGCACTTTTTAGCATGGACATTTGTATTACCTTCTCATGTCCTTTGATGACTTTTTATTGGAATATTATTACTTATTTTTAAGGCCTTTCTAGCAAAGATTGAAACCCTTTTCCAGTCATTTATATTGAAAATATTTTATATAATTTGTTACCTTCCATTGTCTATGGAATTTTCTCAAATGCAAATTATTTTAAATTTTATGCAGTCAAATCTCCATTTTCCCTTTATGTGATTTGTTTTTATGCTTAGAAAATCTTTCTAACATAAAATCAGATGAATAATTCTATTTTCTCCATTTTTTACTTTTTGTTTTTTTATCCTCACCTGAGGACTTTTTTTTTCTATTTTTTGTTCAGATAGAGTGGGAGGGAGAGAGACAGAGAAACATCGACGTGAAAGGGACACATCGAGTGGCTGCCTCCCATACAGTCCAACCAGGGCCGGGGACAACCTGCAACCGAGGTACATGCCCTTAGTGGGAACCGAACCCAGGTCTCTCTGAACCGCAGGCTGACGCTCTAACCGCTGAGCCAAACTGGTCAGGGCTCAATTTTTTACTTTTTGAAGAAGTATTATTAAAACATTCACCTGCTTGGCCAGTGTGGCTCAGTGGTTGAGCATTGACTCATGCACCAGGAGGTCACCAGTATGATTCCTGATCAGGCATATGCCCAGGTTGTGGGCCAAATCCCCAGTGTGGGGCATGCAAGAGGTGGCCATCAGTGTTCTCTCTCATCAGTGTTTCTCTCTCTCTCCCCCTCTCCGTCTCTCTAAAGTCAATAAAGAAAAAAAAATTTTTTTTAAACACAAACTTTCACCTGGAGCCCAGCTGGTGTGGCACAGTGGACTGAGCATCATTCCATGGACTGAGAGGTTCTGGTTTGATTCCCGGTCAGGACATATGCCTGATTTCGGGCTTGATTCCCAGTTGGGTCATGCTGATCGATGTTTCTCTGTCACATTGATGTTTCTACCTCTCTCTCTTCCTCTCATTTTAAAAAAATCAATTAAAAAAAAAATATATATATATATAGATTTTAAAACTTTCACCTGGAATTTATTTTCCTGAATGATAGGAAATAGAGATCTAACTTCATTTATTTTTTAATTTTTCTCTTTATTAATTTTTAGAGAGAGAGGAAGGGAGAGGGAGAGAGAGATAGAAACATCAATGAGAGAGAACATCGATTGGCCGCCTCCTGCATGCCCCCCACTGGAGACCAGGCCCAAAACCCAGACATGTGCCCTGACTGGGAATCGAACCCATGACCTTTTGGTGCATGGGCCGATGCTCAACCACTGAGCCACACTGGCTCCGCCATTTTTTTATTTTTAAAAATATTTGTCTATTCTTGAAACATAACTTGACTGTTTTAGTTACTATAGCTTTGTAATATGTTTTAATACTAGTGATATGAGTTTATACATACCCCTTTATATATTTTATTGCAATATACCTGTGACATTTCTCATCTATTTATACATTATGCAAACTTCAGAGTACTTTTAAGTCCCTTTAACTCCCTCCCCACCACCACCACCAATAAAAAAGAAATCTTCATGGTATTTTTTGAGATATAATTGTCAGGCCGGCCAGTGTGGTTCAGTGGATTGAGCACCATCTCATGAACTGAGAGGTCCCAGTTTGATTCCCAGTCAGGGCACATGCCCAGGTTGTGGGCTTGATTCCCAGTAAGATTGTGCAGGATGCAGCCAATCACTGTTTATCTCTCACATCAATGTTTCTGTCTCTCTTTCCCTTCTCTCTCTCTAAAAAAACCAGTAATTGACGTACAACTTTGTATTTATGTTTCACAAATATCCCACACAGTTTGACATGTATATATACTGCAAAATGATGACCACAATAAGTGTAGTTACCTATCACCACACAATTACAGTTTTTATTGTTCTTGTGATGGGAACTTTTAAGATCTGCTCTCTTAGCAGTTCTCAAATATACAATAAAAAATATAAGATCTAGCCCTGACCGGTTTGGCTCAGTGGTTAAAGCGTCGACCTGCGGTCCTGAGAGACCCGGGTTTGGTTCCCGCTAAGGGCGCGTACCTCGGTTGCAGTTTGTCCCCGGCTCTGGTCAGTCGTGCGGGTGGCAGCCACTCGATGTGTTCCTTTCACATCGATGTTTCTCTCTCTCTCTCTCCCTCCCACTCTACCTGAACAAAAAATGGAAAAATTTCCTCGGGTGAGGATAAAATTAAAAAAATAAATTAAAAAAATAAGAATATAAGATCTTCACGAATTTGTGTGTCAATTTTGCACAGTATAATGCTAATCTTTGTATCGTTCCAGTTTTTGTATATGTGATGTGGAAGTTACCACTGCTCATGGTATTTTGACTAGAATTGCATTCTCAATGTCTTTGAAAACTTTTTTTTTCTTAAATAATTTTTCTATATTGCCCTGGCCAGTTTGTCTCAACGGTTAGAGTGTCAGCCCGTGGACCAATGAAACCTGAGTTCGATTCTGGCCAAGGGCACGTACCTCTGTTGTGGTTCGTCCCCAGCCCTGATTGGAGTCGTGAGGGAGGCAACCAGTCAATGTGTCTGTCTCAAATTGATGTTTCTCTCTCTCTCTCTCTCCCTCCCTCCTACTCTGTCTAAAGATAAATGGAAAAATATCCTCGGGTGAGGATAAATAAAAAATGAAAAAGTAATTTTTCTTTATTGATTTTAGAGAGAGAGACAAAGGGGGAAGGAGAGACAGAAACGTTAATGAGAGAGAACATTGATTGGCCACCTTCTGCATACCCCTCACTCAGGATCTGGCCCATCACCTGGACATATGCTCTGACCAGGGATTGAACCAGCGACCCCTTAGTGCATGGGTCGACACAACCACTGAGCCACACTGGCCAGACTCTTTGAAAACAATTTGACATTGTTAAAGATTTTCTTATTAGAGCTAAGTGTTCTCTGCATATCAGTTCTTTTATATGTCTCACATAGTTTTTTTATTAATTTTCTTCCTGTGATTAATGGGACTGTTTTTCATTACATCTTCCAAATAGTACTTGGGAAAAGCTAACTTATGTGTATATTTATATCCACCCATCACATCAAACTCTCTTATTAATTCTAATTTTTTTTAGCTAATCAGTTTGGATTTTCTGAGTATATTAATTTCAATTTTTTTTTTAATCCTCACCCAAGGATATTTTTTCACTGATTTTTAGATAGAGTAGATGAGAAGAAAGGAGTGGGGGGGAGACACACACACACACATCAGTGTGAGAGAGAGACATCGATTGGTTGCCTCCCATATGACCCCAATCCAGGCCAGGGATTGAACTTGTCGAACTTGTAACCCAGGTACATTTCATTGACCAGGAATCAGACCTGAGACCCTTTGGTCCATGGGCCTATGCTCTAACTGCTGAGCCAAACTAGCCAGTGTTGAGTATATTAATTTCAAATAAAGGTAATGTAATCTCTGTGCTTTCTGCCTCATTGCTTTGAAATTTAGAAGCATTAAATAATGCTGAAAGTAGGAATTCTTTTCTTGTTTATAGGGTTACTTTAGTATTTTAAACATTTCTATAATGTTTTTATTGTTTTAAAAAGCATAAATAGCCCTGGCTGGTTTGGCTCAGCGGTTAGAGCGTCCGCCTGCGGTCCAGAGAGACCCAGGTTCGGTTCCCCCTAGGGGTACGTACCTGCAGTTTGTCCCCGGCCCTGGTTGGTCGTGCGGATGGCAGCCACTCGATGTGTCCCTTTCACATCAATGTTTCTCTCTCTCTTCTCTCTCCCTCCCACTCTATCTGAACAAAAAAATGGAAAAATGTCCTCGAGTGAGGTTTTTTTTTTTCATCCTCACCCGAGGAAATTTTTCCATTTTTTGTTCAGGTAGAGTGGGAGGGAGAGAGAGGAACAGAGAGAGAGAGAGAGAAACATCGATGTGAAAGGGACACATCGAGTGGCTGCCACCTGCACAACCGACCAGGGCCGGGGACAAACTGCGACCGAGGTACGCGCCCTTAGCGGAAACCGTACCTGGGTCTCTCGGGACCGCAGGCCGACGCTCTAACCGCTGAGTCAAACCGGCCAGGGCTCGAGTGAGGATTTTTTTAAAAAAGCATAAATATTAAGGAAGTGTTTTTCTATTTTAATTTACCACATCTCTGCTTAGAATAAAAAAGTATGCTCAAGTTTTAACCAATGCCTTTCAGCATTTATTAAATCATTTATTCTTTAACTTATGTGATATGATAAATTAATATATTTTCTAAACTTGACTTTTTTCTTTTTTCTCAGTGGGGTAAACCCTATTTGGACCCAGTATAGTTGTATTTTAATATTCTGCTAAATTTTATTTGCTGTTATTTTATTTAGGATGTTTACATCCATTTCCTTAGTGGACATGGCCTCTTTCTTCTTTCTTTGATTCCCACCCACCCCTCTTTGGGTATTTGAGTATTAGGGTGTGCCGACTTTATTTTATTTTATTTTATTTTATTTTTTTGCATTTATCTTCAGATAGAGCCGGAGAGAGAGAGAGAAAAACATCAATGTGAAAGAGACACATCAACTGGTTGCCACCCACACAACCCCAGCAAGTGCCGAGGACAAACTGCAACCAAGGTACATGCCCTTAGTGGGAACCAAACCCGGGGCTCTCTGGTCCGCAGGCTGACACTAACCACTGAGCCAAACCGGCCACGGCCTGACTTTATTTTTAAAAATGGGAAGAAGCCCTGGCTGGTTTGGTTCAGCATTGGCCAGCAGACCAAAAAGTTGTGGCTTCAATTCTGGTCAAAGGCATGTACCTTGGTTGCAGTTCGATCCCTGGCCCTGGTCGGGGTGGTGTGGGAGGCATCCAATCTGTGTGTCTCTCTCACATCAATGTTTCTCCTCTCTCTCTTTCTCTCTCTCTCTCTCTCTCTCCCTCTCTCTCCTACTTTGTCTACAGATAAATAGAAAAATATGTCCTCAGGTGAGGATTAAAAAAAAACTTAATAAAATAAAATGGGAAGTGGCTTTTCTTTTTTTGTGACCTGGAAAGTGTTTATCACTGAAGAATTATTCTTTTTCTCTTGGCCAGTGTGGCTCAGTGAATTCAACATCATTCCATGGACTGAAAGGTCCCAGTTCAATGCTCGGGTTGTGGGCTCGATCCCCAGTAGGGGGATGAACAGGAGTCAGCTGATCGATGTTTCTCTCTCACATTGATGTTTCTCTCACTCACTTCCTTCCTCTCTCTCTAAAAAATATCAGTATACATGTAAAAAAAAAAAAAAGAATCACTTTTTAAAAAAATGTATTTTAAAGGGTTAAGAAGGGATGGGGAGGAGGGTGGAGAGAGAGAAACATCCATGTGAGAGAGAAACATGGATTGATTGCCTCCTCTACATGCCCCAAGCAGGGATCGAACCTGAAACCTGGGGATGTGTCCTGACCGGAAATCAAATCCAGGACCCCTTTGGTGCATGGGATGACACTCCAACCGAGCCACACTGGCCAGGGCTTAAGACTCATTCTTGTCTTTTTGCTCATATTCTGCTCTCAGTGCCTCAGCAATAACTCTCTACCTTTGAAATATATATAGAATTCAACTATTTCACCATTTCCACTAGAACCATCCTAGTCCAGTGTTACTTTCTCCTGTTAGACTTGAACTGTATGTAGGTAGGCTTGTTCTGATTATTTGCCCCCTTCAATCTGTTTTCAATACAGCAGCTAGAGTGATCTTTTAAGATGCAAATTGGGTTAACACCTGCTGCTTTCTTTAAAGGATTCCTATCTCTCTCAGAAAAATATATCAAGCCCTGACCTGGGCTTACTTTCTTTCTGACCTGACTCTTGCCACTCTCTCCTGTTCACTTATTCTTCACTGGCCAAACACGCCTACTCATTCTTTAGTCCTGCCAAATAATTAATGCCTCTGGACCTTCACAGTTCTGTTCTGCCGCATTCACTATTACCCCATTACATCATTTACTGTCTTTTTTTTTTTTTTTTTTAATCCTCACCTGAGGACATTTTTCCAATTTTTGTTCAGATAGAGTGGGAGAGAGAGAGAAGAAGAGAGAGAGAGAGAAACATCGACGTGAAAGGGACACATCGAGTGGCTGCCACCCGCACAACCAACCTGGGCCGGGACAAACTGCAACCAAGGTACATGCCCCTAGCGGAACTGAACCTGGGTCTCTCTGGACCGCAGGCCGATGCTCTAACTGCTGAGCCAAACCTGCCAGGGCACATCATTTACTTTCTGTTGTCCTCCAGATCAGGAGTCAGCCTTATCAGAAATGTCTTTACCAGAGAGCTATTGAAATGAGCGTTCTACCCCAGGTACTCTCTGCCCCCTTACTGTACTTTATTTTTCTTCTTAGCACTTACCATCACCTGACAATTGGTTTTTGTTTTGTTATGTTTATTTATTTTCACCCACTAGAATGTAAAAACTTTGTTTTACTTACAGTATTAATGCCCCAGTGCTTAGAACATTTTCTGGAGAATAAACCCCTCCTCCCAACCACTAATAAATATTTATTGACCGAATACATGAATGAACTGAAGTAACTCTAATAAAGACATCTCTGGAAAGAAAAATTTTGGCACCTCCTTTTTCTGTTTCTTCCTTTATTATGAGGCTTTACAAGTTTTTTAGCTCTTGTGTCAAATTTTTGAGGCAGAATTTTTGAGACATAACGAATACATATAAATAATTTGCCAATTTTAAGTGTTCAACTGGGTAAGTTTTGACAAAAATATACGGTAGTATAAACACCACAATTATGATATGGAACATTTCCATCATTTCATGTGTCAATTTTGTTACATTATCCAGAAAACCATTCATTTCTCTAAAATCTTCACATTTTTAAATATTTAAACATACAAAAAATTAAGGATATATTATGATATTTTTTAAAATATGTTTTTATTGATTTTCTAGAGAGAGAGAGGAAGGGGGAGACAGACAGAAACACCCATCAGCCATCTCCTGCACTCCCCCCACTGGGGATCGAGCCCACGACCCGGGCATGTGCTCTGACTAGGAATCAAACCAGGACCTCTCAGCCAATGGGACAACACTCAGTCCCACTGAGCCACACCAGCTGAGCAAGGATATATTATTATATCTAATTTCTATTCCTGATTTTATTTTCTAATATATTTTTTTAATTTGTTAGCAACTTGCACTTTTTAGTTTTTAAAGTCTAGCTCTTATATTTATTGTTTAATAATTTTTGTTTTTACCTTTATTTTCTTTTTCTAAAGCTTGTTTTTTTCTGCTTATATTGGATCCTATGTTCATTCAGTTTTTTTTATTAGTTTACTTAAAAGCTTTATCACTTTGAATATACCATTATTAATACT